ATATTATAAGGTAAGGTTATAAAACCACCTTTTAAGATCATTTTAGTGAAAGTTTCATGTTCCTATCTCATAGAATTTAAGAACAATGATGAATAAATAATTTTCGAGCAAAATTTAAATGGCCGGCTGAATATATTACCGCAGGAGCCGCGGCCGCGGAATTTAAATGACCACGTCAAAGGGTTAAGGGCCTCCTCTCTTCTTCACTGTCTTATATTCATACCATTTTTCCCATTCTTGGCATATACTTCAACACTGGAAATGGAGGCACATCCCAGAGGATGGCCTTCTTGATGTATCATTGGATACAGATGGAGAATCTGTCTTTAGGCTATGGAAAGATACCCTTGGATGGCATGGATGATAGTACTTATGGCTTCCACCCCTTTCTTCCTGCTACTGTACTCCTCTGCAGCCTCCTGCCTTATGTGCTTGTCACTAGAAAATGTTAGCACATGGCAACTGCTCCTAACATTTCTGCATGGGTTGCAGTAAGACATAAATGAAGTGGGAATTTTCTCACTGAACAAAAAAATATAAGAAAATGGATACAGGAATTAAAGTAACACCAGATGGAACCTGCGTATTTAAACAAGCTACGACTTACAAAATACAGTGAGACACCATTTAAGGTTTTCTTTGGGAGGGATCTTGACAATAAACGAACAAAGTCTTAAATTAAGTTAATTTGACACTAGATGTTAAATAAATGAAAAGGTTAAATTATGGAACACTACAATTATTGCCTTTCTGGACATTGTCCGCTGTCCTTTTTTTTTTTAACAGTGCTTCAAAGACTGGATTCTGTCTGTCCTTGGGTAAAAGCCTACTCAGTTGGGCCCAATCAACAGAACTAGTCCCTATATCTGTAGATGGGGGCTAGCTCTAGCAATTGGGCCCAATAAGCAGGCTTTTACCCAAGAGCAGAGGCAGAATGCAGTCTCCAAAATATTGTAAAAGACATACAGAGGACAATGCATAATGTCCAAAAAGCCAACAACTGTATTAACCCTTTGGCGCGGTCATTTAAATTCCGCGGACGCGTCTCCGGCGGTAATATATTCAGCCGGCCATTTAAATTTTGCTCGAAAATGATTTATTCATCTTTGTTCTTAAATTCTATGAGATAGGAACATGAAACTTTCACTAAAATGATCTTAAAAGGTGGTTTTATAACCTTACCTTATAATATGAAC